TAATATATAGAATTTTTCCATCACTATTTATAGTACACCTGAAACTAACACTGTATGTTAACTAGACTGAAATTAAGAAAAAAAAGACAAGAAATAACAAATATTGGTGAGGATATGGAGAAAAGGGAACCTTTGTGCACTGCTGGTCGGAATGTAAATTGGTGTAGCCACTATGGAAAACAGAATGAAGGCTCCTCAAAAAATTAAAAATAAAAATACCATATGACCCACTAATTCCACTTCTGGGTATTTACCCAAAGAAAATAAAAACATTAATTTGAAAAGATATATAAGTAACCCTATATTTAGTGCAGCATTATTTACAGTGGCCAAGATACGGAAGCAACCTAAGGGTCCATCAATACATGAATAAAGAAGATGCAGTATATGTGTATGTGCATGCACACATACATATACATGTATGCAGGTGTATATGTATATGCATGTATACATACATATATATTGCACATATGTATGTGCATGTACACACACACACACACACACACAATGGAGTATTACTCAGCCATAAAAGAGAATGAAATCTTGCCATCTGTGACAACGTAGATGGACCTAGAGGGTATTATGGTACTTGAAATAAGACAGAAAAAGACAAATAACATATGATTTCACTTACATGTGGAATCTAAAAAACAGAACAAACAAAAAGCAGAAACAGACCCATAGATACAGAAAACAAAGTGGTGGTTGCCAGAGAGGAGGAGATGGAGGGTATGGGTGAAATAGGTGAAGGGCAATAAGAGTACAAATTTCCAATTATAAAATAAATAAGTCATGAGAAAGAAAAGTACAGCATAGGAAATATAGTCAAAAATGTTATAATAACTTTGTATAGTGAAGGATGGTGACCATACTAATTGTGATATTTTGTAATATATATAATTGTTGAATCACTAGGTTGTACACCTGAAACTAATATAATATTGTATGTCAACTACACTTCAATTAAAAAAAAATAAGCTACAAAAAGGTTCTAGAACAAGTAATATTTAAAGTTCAATGCAACTAGGAAAAGTTTTTTCAAATTGCCATGAAATAACACCAAAGAAAAATTCAAGCAGAAAAATACCTTTTAGAAATTGTACATACATTTTAACATCTGAAGATAGGGGAAAAAAAAACCTCACCAAATACTCTCAATATATTTGGATTTGCTCCTTTTGTATATATTCCTTTTCAATATTTATTCCCATGTATACCTAATTATATGTAGGTCTAATCGTTATGTAAACATAGCTTTGTTTTCTGCCTCAATTCTTACCCCAGAGCCACATATGTTATAATAAGCTCTTTTTTCAAACTATTTCATAAACTTAATAGAAAACTTCTAAACTCCACTGAATTGATGGCCTATAATCTGTTTAAATCTCTCCTTATACCATTAAAAGTCACTGCTACTTTTTCACCAGTATAAGTGATATTACAATAAACATTTTTATGTATAGTTTTTCCCAATGATTTATTTAAAAATAAAATAATATGAATATTTGTGCATATTCATAAGGTAATGAATGCCATGCTGTCTATTCTACACAAAAAGGACTGCAAAAACATATATACCAATTGAAATATAGTTGACCCTTGAACAACACAGGTTTGAACTGTGTGGATCCACTTATATGTGGGCTTTTACAGTGCAGTACTCCTAAATGTATTTTCTTTTCCTCATGATTTTCTTAGCAACATTTTCTTTTCTCTAGCTTACTTTATTGTAAGAATACTGTTTATAATATGTATAACATATAAAATATGTGTTAATCGACTATGTATGTTATTGGTAAAGCTTCCAGTTAACAGTAAGCTATTAGTAGTTAAGTGTTTGGGAAGTCAAAAGTTATATGTGGATTTTCAACTCATGGGGGAGATGGTGCCCCTAACCCCCAGCTTGTTCAAGGGTCAACTGTATATGTATATGTATATGTATATGTACATGGATATACACACATCAATTTTTGTACAACCATACCTACTCTATGAACACTTTAAAATTTTTATTTTTGTAAATAATTTTTTAAATTTGCATTTCTAGGATGATCATCAAGGTTAAGCCTCTTTCAATTAAGTTTTATTTCTTCATATAAACATTTATTGAGAATCTACTATGTGCCAAACTCTGTGCTAGCTACCAGAGAGAGAAAGACTAATTAGACGCAGTCACTCTCTCTCTCCCAGGAACTTCCAGTTAGTTATACAGAGAAAAGCAAATAAATAAAACAAGTTCTATCAAACATTACAGGTGCTATGACAGCTACATAACCAACAGTCTTGAATAAAATGTTTTTTTCCTATACATTGTCCATTTATCTATCAGACCCTACAAGTTTTCTAATAAATTTCAAGATTAGACATTAGTGTTTGACAACAGCTTGCATAAATATTTTCAATTCTGTTATTTTTGGGTTTTTGGTCATGGTAGTAGTGATGGTGGTATGCCCATGCTTTATATTAACAGTCAGACTTGTCATTTTCATCATGTCAAACTTTGGAAAGAATCACTCCTACAGAGTTTTAATAAGCAGAAATTTTCTTCATTCCAGAGGCTGAAAAAGTTAATCCTAGATTCTTATCTTGACCTGAGAGTTTGTATTCATTTATATTTATTTATAAACACAGAGACTATTTTATTTTAGATTCCTGACTTTCCCATACACATGAAATGTCCATTGCCACTTCTACTTCTCACCCATTCTGTTAGAATGCTTGTTACTATTGTCCATGGAAACCAAGGCTTTCCTCCCCACTCCCTGTAGGATTCCCAGTTAATGAGTTCCAACCCAATTATCTCAATGGGGCATAAAGTCAATAGGGCAGAGAGGGAGGAAAGAAGTGGGATATCCTTTTCTGGCTCCCTGATTCAGAACCTGAAACATCTTTCCATTGAAAAATCAGTTACTTATATATTATTATCAGGTCTTATGATAGTCTAGGCCTTATAATTAACTACACTGGGGCTAACCTAAGAACTTGAGTACATCCATAATATGGCTCTGCAAGAAAATATTTTCTGAGTTTCAAACAGCCAAATTACAAATGAAGTTTTAAAATACAACCTATGTCAACAGGAACCCACATGTGCATTTGCATATATTCCATTATGGGTAAATGTCAGAGTTAGCTTATGTCATGAATAGATTGCTGATCACTAACTTAAATTACTTCAGGCTATTTGTTAATTGAATGTTATGTTACAGAGTGGATTTGATCCTAACATAAAAGACGCAGAGTCAACAACTAAGAAATAGAATCACTTCATATGCTGGTAGAAGATTTATCAAAATACACACACATATACACACTATATATACACACACACACACACACACTAGCTTAGTAATTAAAGTACTTTTATAATAGGAAAAGGGAATGGATCTGCTTATAATACAGAAAGAAAACAGAATTATGAATTACATGAGAAGAAAGCCCGAAAATAATCTTCTCTTGATCCTAACTGTAGTGCTAAAATGTTAAGCCAAATTGCTAGAATGTTAGAATATCCTGATTCTTCAACAACTGTGGCAGATATTAGCCAGCTAATCTCACTTCAATTTATCTACAAATTGCAGGATATGGACACATATATATGATTTTTTACAAAGAAATAGGTAAGTCTAAGGTGGAACATGAAATCTGCATTTCTAACAAGTTTCCAGGTAGTGTTGATCCTGCTGGCCCTGGCGTTACACTTTGAGAAGCACTGTCCTGTATAATCTCACTTTCTCCCATGGTTTCAACTATCACCTTTTCAGTGAGGCCTGCAGACCTTCCTATTTAATCCTGCAAGCTATCTCCATCCCAGCACTCCCAACCACTTTTACCCTTCTCTGCCTTCTTTTTTTCTTTAATTCCTTTAACATTTGTGAACTTCTAGTACATTAAACATTTTATCAGATTTTTTATTGTCTTCTCTCCACTGTTAAAATTAAGATCCACCAGAAAAAAAAGATCTTGTTTTGTTAACCAATATATTCAAAACTCCTACATATGTACTGTGCATACAGTAGATAAAAAATGAATATTTGTTGAATGAATGATTGATAATACTCATCATCTCTAATTCAGACCTCTCTAACTCTTGACTTTTAATTCCAATGCCTACTAGGTATCACCACTTGCATGTCTTATAAGCATCTCAAATTCAACTTACTGAATCGAAAACAGAACTCATAACCTTTTCTTACTAACTTGTCCTTCCTCCTTTTCTTCTTGACTTAATTGTTGGCATTGTGATCCATCCAGTTTCCTTTCTATTTAAAATTCTTCACTAGCACTCCATCACCTAGGAATGAGGTTCAAGCTCCTTAGTGTAGCTTATACAGTGTCTTTCCTGTCTGATCCATTCTTACTTCTCCAATGCTGTTTCCTACTGCTGCTTCAATCTTCAACTACTACATATTATAGTCCAGCAATACCTAATTTCTTGTATTCCTCTGAACATACCCTGTTTTTATCATGTCTTTCTACTTGCTAGTCAATGTATTCAGAATTCTCTTGTTCACCTAGTAAACATCTCATCAAGAACACAAAAATCAGCTTAGATCCAATAATCACCAAGAAATCTTCCCACCAAAAGAATTTTCTCCCCACAAAGTATTAATTCTCTTACTTGTGCTATTGCTATATCTAGTGCATAATTCTATAACTGCACTAAATTATCATTCGTTTACATGTCTGGTTCTTCACCTAAACAATTCTTAAAAATAACTGTAATTTATATTCATTTTATGTCCTTCAGTCTCAAGGACATGACAGATATTCCTTCACATTAACTGAATCATATAAAGAATATTCTAAAAATCAAGTACACCTACAAAAAATAGACACTAAAAAATTATTGTTCTTCTGAAAACTGCCAAAGTTTAGACAATTTTTGTTAAAAACTCCATTCAAATCAATTTAGTCTCAAATTTCTCAAAGGACTGAACTATACAGTATCTTGCTCTGGCTACCTGAATTCATTATCATAAACCATATACAGTACTTACAAAATGTGTACTAACACGTGTTTGCCACATGTCCACTTGTTTTGGTGTAAGATCCGGAATTGACAGGCCTAATCTGGAAGCCAAAGCTTCAACGTAGCCTGCAAGTCTTTAAAAATACACAAGGACAGAATGTAAGTTTTTAAAGAGACACACAAAGGTCCTCAGATAACAAACTAATTGCTACAAAAAGAAACAAAATAATTTTACACCTGTAACTGGCACTCTAGAAATGGTGTAAATGTTTTTTACAATTTTCATTTTTATTGTGCATAAATATATACAATTCAAAATATTTTAATATTAATATATTCATAGATAGATAAACTAATTGACTTAGAGCAATTATTCTCTCTTATTTTATTTTATTTATTTTTATTTTTTTGAAAGAGAGCAAGGAGGGGGGTTGAGGGGGTGGGAGAGGGGCCAAGGGAGAGGGAGAAAGAATCTCAAGCAGGCTCCACACCCAGTGCAGATCCCAACACAGGGCTCAATCTCACAACCCTGAGATTATGACCTGAGCCAAAATCAAGAGTCAGATGCTTGGGGCACCTGGATAGCTCAATTGGTTAAACATCTGCCTTGGGCTTGGGTCATGATCCCAGGGTCCTGGGTTTGAGCCCCGCATGGGGGGCTCCCTGCTCAACAGACAGCCTGCTTCTCTCTCTCCCTCTGCTGCTACCTCTGCTTGTGCGCACACGTGCTCTCTGTCAAATAAATAAAATCTTAAAAAAAAAGTCAGATGCTTAATTGACTGAGCCATCCAAGCACACCTCTCTCTTATTTTAAAAGATCATTTCAAGGTATATAAAAAATTTTTGCAATAAAATTACAGTCATGCACTTACTCCAAATTCAAAGCAAAGCACGTTAACATATGATATTAGATTGGGGTGCCTGGGTGGCTCAGGTGGCTAAGCGTCTGCCTTCGGCTCAGGTCATGATCCCAGGGTCCTGGGATCAAGCCCCGCGTTGGGCTCCCTGCTCGGTGGGGAGTCTGCTTCTCCTTTTCCCTCTGCCCCTTCTCCTGCTCGCTCTCTCTCTCGCTCACTCTCTCTAATAAATAAATAAAATCTTTAAAAATATATATAATATTAGATTGATATACTAAGTAAAACAGCCTAGAATTTTCAGGGCAATCTCAAGTATTTATCAAGTCTAACTTCCCATCATTTATTGGATATAAACTCACTTTGTGAACTGTAAGAAAGAAAAAAATTTGCCAGTTAAACTATGCATACATCAGTTACAAGATGGATCCTAATATCAGATATGTTAAGTTCTAAAAAAAATTGGGTACCTAAGAATCAATAAAATGCATTTGTTATTTAATGATATTTTTTAAAGGCAGAGGAGAAATAGTTCTTAAACATAAAGACTCCCAACAAAATCTTTATCTCTAATCAAAAATAATTAATGATGCAATCTAAAATTAAATGGCCTTAAAATCTATTCGATCACTTGGTTCTATTAAATATAAAAAGATATCACAGTAGCTGTAATATTATCACTATTAACCTTAATGTTGGAAATGGGGAAACAGAATGTGTAAAGGGTGATATCATTATAGATTTATGTCAGGAATTTGAGAAATATAAAATTTCTGCTCTGGCCCAGAAGCAAAGAAACTTTGTGTTTTAACAGTAGCTTTGGCCCCAAACTGCAGTACAGAAGTCTAATACACAGGGTCAGATCACTTATGAAGCTGCCTATTCCTAGATTATAAGGCTAAGTAAACTTCTAGTAGGCCCAAATCCAAATCTCAAAACTTACCACTCTCATGAACCATGGAAGGAAAAAACAGAGCCAAAGACTGAGCAAAAGAGACTATGTTTATCACAATAATTAATGCCAACTTAGTCTAATTTATCCTTCCCAGCCTTCCTCAAGCTCAGGAGGCAGCCCAGGCCATGTGCTGCTTGGAAGAGAGAATGTAAAGTGAGAAAGAGAGAAAGCTGGCCTTTTCTAAGTAGACATCCTTGCTTTGTTTCATCATTCCAGCCACATGGAATAAAGAGAGCAAAAACAGGCCAAACCCATGTATGCTCTGGCCATTATTCTTTTTGAAAGTTCCTCTCTCCAGAAAACATGCCCAGTCAGTATCCTCACATTTGAGCCATATCTCTTATCTTTGAGCTTAGTGGGAGAAGAGTGGGGTGAAATAATGATGGGGTTCTTGGTTTTAATCCTGTCTCACCTTGGAAATGTCTATAAAATACACATGAATACTTCCATAAATGAGAATTAAACTCTGCTTACATTACAGTCGTCTTAGAAAAACTTTTTCATGTATCAATCTTTTGAGAAGATTTTAAACACAAATTCCAGGTCCCTATACCCAGAGACACAAGTTCTGAGGTATAACCCAGGTATTTGTATATGATGCACACTGAAGATTTAGTACTACTGATTTAGAAATATTAAATTTAAAACTTTAGTTTGAAAACACACACAACAAACGTCCCATATTTTTTATCTTTCTCAATTAAAGAATGGGGAAGAGAAAGAGAACAACACACATGCACAAATGAATAAATGAATGGACCTACCCAAGTCCAGCTAAATCTGACACAAGATTTCCCAAAGCAGCAGCTAAAAAATTGAGAAGTGGATAAGTGAATTGTTAGATGGAAGTCAGAAAAATCATTGTAATATATCACTATATCATCAGTAAAGCACTGATCTGGAAGAGTAATCACAGTTTCTGAAACTACAACAACTATATCCAAAGTAACTCATTGGATAGCTCTGAATCTCAAGATTGCAAAATAGAACACAAGTCTCTTGGGATTATAGTGTTCTGCTTCCATCAAGTAGTAGGATTTTTTCTGTTGTGGAAGCCAGTTTCCATTTTGGTTTCAATACCTATACAGTATTTTGTAGCTTTATCTTTCATTACATTTAAGGAAATCTGGATATTTGGAAGTTAAAGTAAAGCTTTATGCATAGCTCTGAAATTCAAGAAAATCATAGAGAAGTGACTCCTTCATGAATTCATCTACTTCATGCTTTCTACACAATAAACACAACACTGAACCATTCCTAAATTTCACTATCATGAAAAACAGAGTGGTAACTAGGGGAAAGAAAGTAATAGAACCAAATTAGACTTTCAATCTTATATTTCCTTCTTTGATTTTTCTACCCAACTTGAAAATAAATTAGTAAAAACAAGAGTAAAAAGGTTTTGGGGTAACACTGAATTAAGAGAAAAACTTAACTTTAACATAGTCAGTACAGCATTGTTACTTATTAACTAACATAAAGTGCCTAAAATTTCTCAGGAAAAAAGTGCTACATATACAAAATTAAGAATTTGAAGAATAGGATTAAGGAGACAAACTAATAGACATCTCAATGAGTAAATTTATTTAAATAAATCATCCTCTTCTAAGTCTAACCTGCTAAAATGTTTTATAAATATAAGTACAATGGAATAATAATATGACTTATTAAATACCTGCCATAGTTGAAATTCCCAAAATAATTCCAATAGACATCTCAATATGGGTTCCCTGAAAAATGATTACAAAGAAATTAATCTTAAAAATTAACGCTGAAGTGACTATAAAAATAGCAAAGTATTAATAAAAACAGATAAACTGGTTAAGCCCATAGGTTACTGCAGCAAAATTATATATATAAAATATGCATAAATATTCATATAATGCAGTAATGCACTTAACTATTAAATATATGCATTCATACAGAAACATCAATATCATTTGATTCATTAAAATTAGGCTTTTATAAAAAATAAAAATAGCAACAAATATAATTATAATACAAATAGCAATATAATCCATCATTAAAAATCTAGAATTTAGATTTTCCAACCACAAAGATTCTTTAAACCTCTTGGAACACAAAGACCAACTCACCTAATTTTAAATTCTGAGTGATACATCTGTATTATTGGTATTTACTCTATCAAAGGAGTAAAAAAAAAAAAGCAGACTAAACTAATTTCTAGGGACCCAAGAGATCAGACTTCAAAAATTATCTTTATAACACTGAGTTCTAACCATTAAGTAGTGAGATGACATGATTCATTTATGAGCAACAATAGCATTTTGCATAATAGATAGAACCTCAGTAAAAAACAAGGTACTGAATTTACTGAGTTTCTGACTTTCCACATCCATCCCATTCCCCTATAGACAAGAGGGACTTGTATTTTTACTTCCACTTTAAAGAGAAGGAACTGAAATTAAGATTAAACAATTCTAATGGGTTATTATACAGAATAAAGAAGAAATACTACGATCTATTGTGCTAATTGAGTTCTAATGCTTGGGCAATGCTCCCATAAGTAGACTTAATTTTCCTCCTAAATACTGATGATTGAAAATTTCTAAATAAATTTAAAAATCTCAATGATATTTATGGAGGGAAAAAAAAAGAATGTCCTATCTGGTATGTAGAAATATTGCATTACTCAACTATTTATAAAACTGGAGAGGGGCTCCTGGGTGGCTCAGTCGGTTAAGTGTCTGCCTTTGGCTCAGGTCATGATCCCAGAGTCCTGGGATCGAGCCATGCATTGGGCTCCCTGCTCAGCAGTGAATCTGTTTCTTCCTCTCCCTCTGCCCCTCCGCCTGCTTGTGCTCTCTCTCAAATAAATAAAATCTTAAAAAAAAAAAAACAACTGAAGAGAAGCTGAGTTAGTTTCCTCATTTTTCTCTCACCTAGGCCTTTTGGTTCCACCCCTTTAAAATACAATTCTTGGGGCGCCTGGGTGGCTTAGTTGGTTGAGCGACTGCCTTCAGCTCAGGTCGTGATCCTGGAGTCCCAGGATCGAGTCCCGCGTCGGGCTCCCTGCTCAGCAGGGAGTCTGCTTCTCCCTCTGACCCTCGCCCCCCCCTTAATGTCCTCTCTCTCTCAAATAAATGAATAAAAACTTAAAAAATAAATAAAATAAAATACAATTCTTGTTGGATATGGAGAGAAAAGCCTGATGCATAAAAGTCTCCAAGGTATTTAAAATCACAAGGAAGGTTGTGAAGGAATCCAAAAGAAACAGATTTCTGAAGAAAAAAAGGAACAGACCATGCATAAGGAATAAAGATGTGTATCTTTAATATGGATGGGGAAAAAAAAAACGCAAGAAAAACCCCCACAAAAAACTGGAGCACTAATATAGAAAAAAGGCACCTGACAGGTACAGTATATAAAAAATAAATATAGCATCCTTAGCAGCAACAAATCATTAGGAATGCCCCAGGAAAACTCTGTTTGCAAAACATGTATTTAAAAAGTATTCAAATGCTTTATCATTTAATTGAATTTAAGAAACCTGAAGGACCTTCTAATAACATAAAAAGCTTCAAATAAAGTCAAAGACAGTTTTAGGATAATGGACTACCAGTCTTTACTTTTTCCCATAGTTACATCAAGTTTTATCTTGTACATCTAATACTAATTATCTTCAATTTATATCTGGTTCATCATCTGAATACAATTAAACTACTCTAGAATTCTAACAAATTCTATTCCAATTAAATTGTAAGAAACATAATCCAAAAAAACCACCAAACATGTCATAAAAAGCAATCCTAGTAATATAAAAATATAATAAAAAACTATGAAACCAAAGGCTGAGTATGAACAGCAGCCAACAATAAAGGTCAATCTATTACAGGAAGTTACATAGGAATTTGTTTTGATGACTACAACTAGACTAGCAACCAGGAGAGGACAACAGGAAAGAGGAAAACATCAAATGTCAGTGGCATGACAGAAAAGAAGAATCAAATATTTCCTTAACTTACTATCTTAAAACAGTCATAGCTGTCCCACAATGTTAGGAGTCAATCAGTGTTTTTAAAAAATTAAAAGGTGAAAAACATTCTTAAGATAATGATGACTACTTATTTTCCTATTCATAGACTCTAGTTATATTATTTATGTATTTTAGTTTCAGCAGTCTATTTAAAACCTCCTTGGGAAACTGCACTGTCCCTGAACTAGTTTGCAATTATCACCGAATAACAATTTCGCTACACATGCCACTCTTACTCAGATACTGAAGCCAGCGGTCTAAACATTTATCTCAATACTATATAAGTAAAAACTGGTATTATGTCCCTTAAACTGGATTTCAATGTAAACTTCAAGAACAAGTATTATTAACTTGGAGTCAACCATCTCAGACCTGGAAAAATAGTTCACTCTCAGTTATACTAACAATGATGAGACATAGGCCGAGTAACAGAAAACAGTAAACAACATTACAATAATTTGACTCTAGAGTGTGTGTTTCACTTTATTGGTAGCTGTATTTAGATGCAGATTATCTGTTACTTTAGATATTTATTTCAAATAAGTAATAACACACTGTAAAGTTCACAATCTATGAAGCTACCCAGTTTCCCTATTCCGATCTCTCTTCAAAATCTCTATTCACCCTTCTTTATGCAAAATATATCATCTCAATACTTCCTCAATAGTCTTTTAGTATTTGACTATCTAAGGTCTGCCCTATCGAGGTGGAAAAAACAAATGAATATGAAGGTGGTAGTATGGATACCAGCTGTCAATTAAGAGAAATTTAAATATTAAATTGTATAAAAACCGAAAGAAATATTTGTCACAGAGAAACTTTAATTCAGACAATCTATTTAAAAACACATCAAGTCTTATCTACAGCTTATAAATTCATCATAATGGGAGTTTTCATTATAATTAGATATGATTTATTTTGTAGTATCTATTTCAGTAATCTAACCAACTCAAATTTTAGTAATTTCACTAAAAGCAGTGTGGTTCCAAGTTGCTGAATATTTACAGATATATTCTCATATTTGCAGATATATAAATTGGCCAATTTAATTCTTATATACATATTAGGAAAATGTCACAATCAGTCAAAAAACCAGCATTCTGAAATTATATTTTAGAGGCTCTTGCCAGGCTGCTTTGCCAAAGAACTACACAATGGGTGCTTCCACATTCAAGCTGTGCGCATGCTAGAGCACCTGCTGTGACTATTTAAGCATCAGGATACCTTCCTGCTATGTCAACAAGGTGAGGAGCCAGACTTTCTGGATAGCTGAGCACCATTAATCTGACATAAGATGAGACTATATAATAGCAAAAAAAAATCTTTTTAGATATTCTTTTAAGAATTTTAGATATCCTTTAAGCAAATTATATAATCCACACAATGTAAATTATACTTTTAGTCCCTGTTTTGAAACCAAATATTCTATTTATGTCCATCTGTAATACATATGACCTCCAAGACACCAAAACAACAAAAAACAAAACGAAACAAAAAAAACCCTTGCTCTCATATGTATTTTTCTCACATTCAATAATCCTAAAATCATTTTTTTCAAGTTAGAGTCAGTGAAGAGAAGTGGATAGAGCACTGGGCAGTTTTAGAAGACTTGCATTTTAATCACGGACTCATCTCTCACTTTAGAAACTGGACCAATGACCAATATTGTTATTCATTAACAAAAGGTGCCATTCAATGGTAGGAAAGGTAAAGAAGCCTTCTCCGAGACTAAACACTTTTAAAGGACACACTTACATTAAAATGACCAAAGCAAAGGGGAACTTTTTTTAAACACTACAATGGAACAAAGACAAAAAGGAGATATACTCAGTATTCTCAACTAAAATTTAAAATACCTTTGGGTCAAATGGATAGACTACATCAAAACACCCTTTAAAACATTTCTGCATGGAAAAACTAAACAAGGAACTAACCAAATAACATATATGTGATGAGAACTGTCAGTAAAATTAAAGAACATCAGAAAATTTTATATACTTTTTCCTTTAATAAGAATGTTGAAACTAGAACAGAATAATATAGACCTAATAAATATGTGTTTATAATTGTCAATGCTTTACCAAAAGTCTTAATGATTAATACATATAATGCCTTAAAACTGAATGATAGTTTAATTAACATGAAATATAGTAAAAAGTAGCCTTGTTCATTATGATGTTAACTAAAATTTTATAGCTAGGATATATAAATTATTAGGAAAATTTAGACCACATTAATTTCTTTATTAACTCAAAATAGAAGGGGTGAAAGAAAGAACTTACTGCAACAATCATAATTGCATTATCCAAAAAGCCAAACCCTATGAAAGGTATCGCATTGTGGATGAATACTGAAAAATATCAAAAAGAGAAAATATATTTTAGGTTTTCTATAACTTTAAATGAGAAAACAGACCATATAATTAAAGACTCCTAAACAGATCTGACAACCTTTGAAATTTGCTTTTCATTCCCCATAGCCAAAAGATTCTGCTCCTGCTATAAGTTTACTTCCTAGAAGCCACACTGGGAAAACAAAACAAAATTAAAAAACATGTAACATGTAAAAATAACTGTGTTAGATTTCTGGGTTGTTTTCTTACTAGCTACACATAAAAAGTACATACAGTTAACGGCAGAACAAATAAGTAAATACATATTACGAGTACCATGCTTTACCTGTTTAATTACTATTGATATCCATCTGTTTCTTATACCTAAAGACTGATATCATAAAATTAATATCCATATTAGAAATAATAAAAATACCCTGAATCAATTTCTAGCTATATGGTCACTTTTACTCACTAAACAATTTTTGGACAAATGTGAGAAAAATGTGATTATTTCATCTATATTAGCCATCTATATGCAGTCTCTTCCCCCATCACAATATCAAAATCCCTGAAAGCTTTCACAAACTATTTGATTTAAATCAAAACGTAATTTGGCCTCTTCCTAACAAAGGCACACCTTACCTTATCTATCTAATACAGAATCTGAATGACCTGACATAATAGAAGTGTAACTAGCAAGAACTAATACCTATATAAATTTTATACATTCAGTCTCATTTTTTTCATATTTGGATCTTCAGCACGTTGCAGAATGCATAGTGCATACCAGATACTCAATGAATATTAGTTAATTAAGTTGAGGACCACTAACCTGGAAAGGAAGAGAATTCCATATTAAGACAATTGAAGGCAGACTGTGAAACAGATTAAAAGCTGGGCTAGTTAAAAGACTTTATTCTGATTCATCTATAAAATTGCCAAGACATAGCCAACAATTCAACAGATGACTTTTTTAGATAAACATCAAACTTGTGAATTTTATAACATATCCAAAAAATAGTTCCTTAAGCGAATTGGTTGTATGTGTTTTTCCTTTTAATGCAGTTAAGTCCATAGAAAGTATAATTAAAATATAATCCAGAAGTTAAAAAAATTTGACATTAGTCTAGTGAGTTCTGGAAAGGCTAATAAACAGTAAACAAAACAAAACAAAAAAACACTCTACCCAAAACCACTATTGAAGACTAAGATCACAGGAAAAGGGTGTATATATCCTAGATCATTTCAGATTTCTTCTTGCTATCAAGTAAGAATGTTCAAGATAAAAAGTAGCATCTTTTTAATTATAAAGAATATTATTTTTAAAAAGGTATTATTTTAAAAGCTATTAAAGATGGTAAAAATCAAATAGCACATTAATGACATGGGATTTTTCAATTAAAGAGTCTAGCCTTAGTTCTTTGATTTTGCCTAAGTCTAGTTGCTTAACTACTAGACATTCAAAATTTTATAATAAGCAACTTTGAAGTATAAAATATATCATGTTTTTATGCTTAGACCTAAATAAATGCATCATATAAGTAAAAATTTATTGTCAACACAAAGGAAAAAATACAATTTTCAAATTGTTAAATAAACATGTACTGGACACTCCACCATGCATGAGATACAAAGATAAATAAGACTTGGTTACCAACTCTCAAGAAATTTGGGTAAGATAACATACCATATCAACAGTCAATTTCAATATAACCAACTGATAATAGTATTATACAGTGCTATGGACATAAATTTGCATGAATCTAGGCTAGGAGAATCAGGAAAAATTACCAGGGGAATTAAAGTCTTCAAGAATTCTTAAATGTTTTGGTATTTGGGAAAAGTTACTTATTTCTAATATAAATTATATTCTACCTCTGAGAGAAAAAAGAACTGGCTAGTTAATAAGTTTTAAAAAATCAAGTAAGTTTGCTCTCCAGTATGTAATGATCTCCTATTAATTTGTGATTTCTTCAATTTCCTTTGGGAAATACTACTCTAAAACAGCAAATCACATCTACTATTTAGCTTTCGCTTACAACCTACTCGAATTCACTGTACTGTTAAAACATTCTCTTCTTTTACTGTCTTTATAATAAGATCCCAAACTGTTTTACATTATGCCAGTGTTAGCCTTGACTATTTATTCCCATCTTAACAGACTAAAGAAAGCACACCAGCACCATTATAAGCTTCTTCTTCCTGGTGGTCTTAAATGAACTTAGCTTTCTTCATCATCATAAACAGCAAGCTGTAAGTATTTTCTCCACCAGAGAACAGTTCTACCTAGCCCAGACTTTCTAGTTCTGAAATTACCCAACTTAAATCCAAACTAAAGTGAACATATCCTTTTTTCTGGGAATTAAGAAAACCTTACCATAAGCATAATTTTATTTCTAGACGGTAACAACAGTTTAACAATGTTAGATACTGACTCCATAATATTATAATATGTTGTAAACCAAGTTTATAAACTTTTTGTTTCGGCATGATAAATTAGATAACCCACTCTATCTGGAAAAATTAAATTTACTGACTCATCTATATTAACAGTAAATGATACAGTTATTTTATATCTAAAAGATAGATGCACAGATATTTAACAATTATAGAACCATTACCATATCTCAGCTGTCCTGGGGTGGGTGGTAGAGCTTCCAACTTTTCTAAATGGGAAAAAAAGGGTTTAGGTCAAGAATTAGTTACTATAGCATGATTTCTTTTTTATTACAATAAAGAAAATACCAGCAGATTTACAAAGTGTGAGAATATCAAAGTTTACTCATAAATTTTTGTAGGTTAATGGACCAAAGTTATCCATACAGAAAATAATACTTGGTATGGATTAAATTACAAGGCTAGAAAACAAAACTGAACTTTAGTTACAAGTCTACCATGGAACTTATGACCTTGGGTAATCATTAGTTGTTCATTTTTGTGTTTTTAAAGTCCTTGCATCTATATAATGAACCTGTTTACATTCATTACAGAAAAAAAAACCCTTTGAAATATAGCTACCCTTCTTTAAGATGCAGTGATAAATGACTTAAGAATTATATATACAAACAAACATTGATAGTAAAAAAAAGAATATTCAAATAGACCTAGATATCCTTTAAAAAACAGAAAATAACATTTTTAAAGCAAAGTATTACAACAATGACTTCACTGGATTGTGTTCTGTTCCTTAATCTCCCTTGATAATATACTGAATATTTTGAGTTTTGAAACCTATATACTATTGGATAATATAGAATATTCTACACAATAAAATGACCCAAAAAAGTAGGGTGCTATTCAAAATCCTAGGTAACAATAAACTACTTATAATATATTGCATAATAAACACACAAAGTTTTCCCAAGTATAAATCAAAGTAAGTATCTTTAAGTGCCATCATTAAATCTAAAAATTAACAATTATTATAAATAAGCAATGTACCTAATTTCATAACAATAACCATCTCACCATTTGTATAAGTACAAGAGTAAGCTATGGTAAAATGGCAGAGAACATACTTTCTTTATCCTCATCCAGTCCAAAAGAATTAACTGACAGTCTATGGAGAAGAACCCACACCACGAATCACACTGTTCTAAAGATTTAGTATAACCGGACTGTCCAAGGAAATACATTATAAACTGGATATATATTTTCTAAAATATTTATTTATAATCTACAACAACATAAGAACTAAAGAATTTGGTTTTAGAAAAGTAAAAAGCAAATAAATTTCCATTGATAAGCTATATAAAAAAGAAGTATCGTCCATATTTGTGAATGGTATTTTACTAAAAACACATATAGTACCAAAATGGTTCTGCAACAAGAAGTACACTAAAACCTTGAGTTTAGTCAATTATCATATTATTCAGAAAGTTCTAAGAATGCAAGTTTAAATTTTGTTTTCCCTTTTTTTAGAGGAGTTATGAAATGAAGATATACTAATCTTTGCAGAATTTCACATCTGATTAAAACATATTTTCTATTTATTGACTAACACCATTACCTCAAAATCTATTTTGAAAGCATGCAAATGGTTTTCCAAATGTTAACAAGAAATACAGGATACCGCTGTACTCCACAGAGTTTTCTGGTGAAGTAAACATGCAAAAGTGGTTACATACCAGAACTATTTGCTAGTTGCATTACTCTCATCATCACTACAGTTCTGACACTGTGAGGAGAAGTCCTTGTCAGTTGACTGGAACATCTTGAAATACCTAAAAATTCAACAAGCAGGACTTTCCCAATAGAATGAGAATATAGAGTCCTTGCTTTTACTTCGTCAAATTCCCTACATATTCATACTGCACAAAGTACTTAAAATATTTTACAACTCCTAAGAAGAAAGGATAGGAGGTAGGCAAATGTATAAGGTGCAGCAAAGAGAAAACCACCAAATAATATAATCAATATTCCTAATCTTCCTTTCCTATTACCCATAAGGATTAAAAAATTAAAAGTAATGAAAAAATAAAATTTTTAAAGACTGAGAAAGAGAAAGAAATATAAAGGAGATAGAGTAGGGAGGAAAACCACTGGCACAGAGAATAAAGTAAAATCAAAGCAGAGATTCTGCCTCCTGCTTTACAAAGAGCCTATTGAATAGCAAGAGGAAACATGAAAGGAACATTTCCTAGAAAGTGGAAATTATACTGGAAATTATCCATCAAAATTTTTTTAAATCATAAATTGATCATTTTGAGGACTTTGACACTGTAAATTACCTTCTTTACTATGTTAACTGAATCAAAACTATATATATCAGAAGTGAAAAACATTGGATGTACAATATACAACAGAACTCCATCTTGGAAATAAGCCCATGCAATCTACACAGGTTTTAAAAATCTATACAAAATTTTCTTTTGACATATTGTAAACTATCTGCACTTACACTGGAAATGTACTCTAATCTAATATTTCATTAAGAAGACTTTGGAGTTCGGGGCGCCTGAGTGGCTCAGTCGTTAAGCGTCTGCCTTCAGCTCAGGTCATGATCCCAGGGTCCTGGGATCGAGCCCCGCATTGGGCTCCCTGCTCCACGGGGAAGCCTGCTTCTCCCTCTCCCACTCCCCCTGCTTGTGTTCCCTCTCTCTCTGTCTCTCTCCTTGTCAAATAAATAAAATAAAAAAATTAAAAATAAAAAAATTAAAAAAAAAAGACTTTGGAGTTAGAAAAACTAGTTCTTTCAGTTTCTGTGTGTGTATGTGTGTGTCTGATATACATCATGCTTTCTTCTTTTTCTGAATATCTTTAAAAAATAAGAAAACCATTAAGATTGTACTTCACCATACCATATTTTCCAATGATTTTAGCTTAAAAAAAATCTGGTTCTACTTCTACTATTGGCTTATTAGTAACCTCCTAGAACACCAATTCTCCTGCATAGAATAAATACACACTAAACACAAACATATATAAATAAATAACTACCAAATGCACTAAAAAATGACCAAAAACAGGTTGATTCTGGAAAGGAATGAACACTTAGAAAAAGGAATGGAACTAAGTGAGTTACCTGTTTATTGCAGCTTTTGGCCTGAGGGCAGCCTCAACCCAACTAAAACTCAAACAAAAAATCTTCAGTCTTTCTGGCCTGAAGAAGCAGTGGATAGGGTGCAAGGTAACCAAAGCCACTGGAAAGTGAAAGGGGAGTCCTGGAAAGGATAGAGTCAGAAAGGAAGAGCCTAAATCCAGTATATACAGTCAGTTCAAAAGTATGGCTGACCTGTGAAGGTAGCAGGAGGGGAAGAATGAAGGGGGGGGAAATCGGAGGGGTAGATGAACCATGAGAGACAATGGACTCTGAAAAACAAACTGAGGGTTCTAGAGGGGAGGGGGGTGGGAGGATGGGTTAGCCTGGTGATGGGTATTGAGGAGGGCACGTTCTGCATGGAGCACTGGGTGTTATGCACAAACAATGAATCATGGAACACTACATCTAAAACTAATGATGTAATGTATGGGGATAATATAAGAATAAAAAAATTTTTTAAAAAATGCTAGCTAAGGGTAAAATAACTGAGGATTTGAGCTACACACCAAGAAACAGAGTTTGCAGTATGAGCCTAACCATCAACTGCCTGCTAAAACAAGTAAAGAAAAACTGAAATTTTTTAGAAGAATAAAACACAACCCAGAGTCTCTACAACATGGTAATTGTAGCAGTGATTAAGATATAATCCAAAATTATTTCACAAAGAAACAGGAAAACATGACCCATTTTCAGGAGAAAAAACAATAGACAGAGATCAATTTTGAAGTGATTCAAATGTTATAAGTAGCAGACAAGGACTTTAAAGTATCAATTAAAAATATATTCAAAAATATAAATGAAAACATAGTCAAATAGAAACTATAAAAAAGAACCAAACTCTAGTCCTAGAACTGAAAAATGTATTATCTGAAATTTTAAAATTAATTGGATAGGCTTAAAAGCAAAATGGAGGTTATAAAACAAAGAGTGAACATGATGATAGATCAATAAAAATAACCCAATCTGAAGAACAGAAAATAAAAGGATTGAGAAATAATGAATCAGTCTCACAGACTTGTGGCTAAATATCAAAAAGTCAATACACGTATAACTGGAGTTCCAAAAAGGGAGAAGAAAGAAAAGGACCAAAAAATATTTAAGTAAATAATGCCTAATAATTTCCCAAATTTGGTGGAAGACAAAATTTCAAAAGATTCCAGAAAGTTCAGGAAACCCCTGGTAGAATAAGGATAAAGAAAATCAATGATAAAGAAAAAGGAATCTTAAAAGCAGTCACAAAAAAATGACACGTTAAAGGAAAACAATGATTTATATATACTTCAAGAAGGAAAAAAAGCTGTCAACGCAGTATTCTATATCCAGAAAGATCATCCTTCAAGAATGAAGCAAACTGTATCTTAGATAAACTAAAACTATGAAAATATGTTGCCAGCCAACCTGCAATATAGGAAATGTGAAAGCAAGTTCTTTAGACTGAAGGGAAATACCAGTTGGGCAGAGGGATCTTCAGGAAAGAATGAAGAGTATCAGAAATGGTAAATATTGTGTAAATATAAAAAACTACTTTTTCCCTAGTAATTGAATTTATGTAGACCTGTCTAAAAGAAAAAAATTTTAACTCTGTCTTATGGAGTTTATAACATATGTAGATGTAATTCATATAACATCAAAGCATAAAGGATGAAGGAGGTTACAAATGGACCAATTTGGTAATTTGGTTGTAATATTTCTACAATGTCTATTACGTGATACAATATTAGCTCTAAGTAGTCTATGAAGAAGTAAGAATGCATATTTGTAATGCCTGCAGCAATCACACATACAGACAAAATGCAATGAGAATACAGCTAAAAAGCTAGTAAATAATTTGAAGGGAATTTTTAAAAAATATTAAATTAAGGCAAAACAACACAGGAAATGAGAACAGAGAACAAACAGCAAATAGTATAATAGCAAACCTATATCCTACCACATCAATAATTACATTCAATGTTAATGGACTAAACACTCCAAATAAATGGCAGAGATTGTCAAAACATAAAAAAGCAAGACCCAACTATAAGATATCCATAAGAATTACACTTTAGTAGATTGAAAATAAATGGATGGTAAAAGATATACTAAACACTAGACTTATAAAAGCTGGAGTGGCTATATCATCATATAAAGTAGACTTAAAAGAATATGGCCAGAACCAGGGACATTTCAGAATGATAAAAGAGTTAACTCATCAAAAGGCATAACAATTTGATTATGCCTAATAACACAGCTTCAAAATGTGTGATGCAAAATCTGACAGAATTAAAGGGCAAAATAAATTCTACAATCATACTCTGAGATATAAAAGCCTCTTTCTCAGCAATTGACAGAAAACTAGGCAAAAATATCAGTAAGATATAGATTATTTGAACAACACTACCAATTATCCTTACTTAAGATTTAAATGATACCCAACAACTATATAATACATATTCTTTTCAAGTGGAGATGGTACATTCATCAAGATAGACCATAAGCTGATCCACAAAACATGTTAATAAATTTATGATTAAAATAATAAAGAATATGTTCTCAGACCAAAATGGAATTAATAGCAATAAGATATCTAGAAAAAAAATTGAAAATTAAATAACATCTTCTAAATACATGGGCCAAAGAAGAAACCAAAAGGGAAATTAGAAAATACTTCAAACTGAATATGAGTGAAAATACAACATACCAAAATTTATGGTATGCAGCTAAATGAATGCTTGAAGGGAAGCTTGAAGTACTTCCATTAAAAAGAAGAATCATCTAAGATAAATGGCCTATGGTTCTAACTTAAGAAGCTATGAAAAAAAAAGCAAGTTAAATCAAGAGTAAGGAAATAAAAAGAAGGAAATAAAAGAGCTGAAAATAATTAATAGAAAACAATAAAGGAAATAGGCAAAGGCAAAAGTTGGTTCTTTGAAAAGATCAACAAAATTAACAAACCTCTAAGTACACTGATCAAGAAAGAGAAAACACAAATTACTAATATCAGGAATGAAAGGGGACATCACTACAGATCCTACAAGGAATTAAAAAGAGTATTATGAATAACTTTATGCCAACAAATCCAACAACTTTGATGAAATGGGCAAATTGTTTAAAAAATACAATTTACCAAAACTGATGTAAAAACAAAAAATCTGAATAGCTCTATCCATTAATAAAATTGAATTTGTCATCAAACACTTTTGCATAACATAAACACAAAAATCCTCTAGGCCCAAATGGTTTCATTGCTGAATTTTATCAAAATCTTAAAGAAAAAAAACACCAATCTTACACAAACTCACAAACTCTTTCAAAAAATAGAAGATAAAGAAATACTTCCCAACTTGTTTTATGAGGCCAGAATAATTCTAAAAATAAAACCTAACCAAGAAATGACAAAAAAGAAAAAACTGCACACCAATATCCCTCAGGAACAGAGACACAAAAATTCTTAACTGAATGATACGTGTTCTGCTTTCCCCAGGTATAAGTGTTTATCCATAATAGTGGCAAAAAATAACATCCAGATTTCCTTACATTTTTTCCTTTCTTAAATATTTCTCATTGTTTGAGGGAGAAGTTGCTCTTAGTAGAGTAGAAATACACAGGTTAGGGGGCGCCTGGTTGGCTCAGTCATTAAACATCTCTTTATTTCAGCTCAAGTTATGATCTCAGGGTTTTGAGATCAAGCCCTGCATTTGG